ATGTTTGTTCAAAGTCATCTGGTTAAAAATGTTCTCAAAACGTTAATGCTCATTTGTGAAACTTTTTTCCTTAAATGTTTGAGTTGGATGTTCGTCTAACATTTTTTAAATGTTACTACTCCTTTCAGAGTACGTTCAGAGAACATTCAATAGTAATATTCAGCATTCCCTTAACATTCATATAACCAAATCAAAACGTTTTTAAAACATTTTAAAAAAGGACATTTTGTTTGTTCAGAGAATATCAGAAATAACTTTTTTATAACTTAATAGGTACATAGGCAAAATATTCTTAGGATGAATTTTTGTTAGCTGGATGGCGAGCACACACTAACATGCAAAAAGGTTTCATACTTAGCAAAAACAACAACAACAACAACAAAACTTGTCAGTGTGTTGAATTTAGTATACAGCAATCGTGCAATGCTGTGCACAAGCGCCACTCTTCAACACAAAGGTGCACTGCAAAAATCTACTACATAACAAAACCTCTTCTTTAAATTCTCACATTACAGAACATTAAACACTAACACATATTCTTCTTTTCAAATACTTCATAAAAACATTTACTTTTTGGATCCAGTTTCATGCAAAGCATTCTGTGAACTGTCTGGTTTAAATTAATGCAACTATATTAATTATCGTAGTTTGATTGAAAGCAATGAAATTGTCAAAATGTTAGAGAGTCTCATTATCTCATTTTAATTAAACAAGCAGCAGACATAATTTTTTTTTTAGGTGTATAATATGCACTTGAAAATGCCTCCCTGCAAGGTTTTATATTCGTCTTTAAAATATGCAGGATTCTTTTCGATTCTGGGCTTTTATGATGCCGGAGATCTGACTCAAGTGAATTTTAATGGAAATGCAAAAAATCAATTCCAGCTTTTATAGCAGATTTTTTTAGATGTCTATGCAAAGATCTGACAGCCTGTGACAAAATATCTTAAACTGTCTGCTTTGCTCTTTATTGGTGGCCGGATCATCCATTCTGCTTGATAATCATTCACTGGCATTGACTAAAAACAGTGTGTTGTTGGGTAGGGTGACCATACGTGCCATTTTCCCAGGACGCGTCCTGGCCAGGATTTCTATATTGCCTAAAATATCTAGGTTTTGGCTTTGTTTGCGTGTGCAGACCGATCGGTGTATGACATCAAAATACCTCGAGAGCATTTTGAAAGCATAAGGAACCGTCTGTTGGAGTTATCTGCTTTTGCTATAAAACAAACTTTTAATATGTAAAAAAAAAACACTTTCAAAGAACTTTAATTTGGTAAATTACCTGTATTTGTTTAAGTTATTATTACTTAATCAAAACAACCCAACTGCAGTTTGATTGATATTACTTGGAATGCGCAATAAAAAAAACGTGATTTCTGAAAAAAAAGTTATTGGTTTTTGCAAATGAACTCTTTATATATAAAATGACTAATAAAAAATCACTCATATGCTCATCTTGTAATACGATGATAACTCATGCATTCATAAAAATGCGAGTTTATTATTCGTACCCAACATATTAATACATATATGATGGGGACTTGAAAATGTCCTAGTAATAATGATGCTGGCTAAGCTTTTCCCAATGTTCTGAGCTCAGGATTTAAACCAATAACCGCTGGCACAATACTAAAGGTTCACACTCGTTTGCATTAATTATAGATAATAACGTGTTATCAGATTACAGGTACAGAAAGAGTGAAGGAATCCTGTACTGCATGTATAGTATTTGTGTCAAGAGATATACTGCCAGAGGAGGAACTCTGTGAGATGTTTCAGCTTGATACATGACAGAAGCATTTCCACTCTAAACTCCCAGCGGATCTCACCAGCATTTAGTGTTCAGTGGAAGTGTCTTCCTCAGCCTCAGGCCGGTATTGAACTGAATTTAGCTGGAGTGGATGAGTGAAGTTGGCTGCGCTCACCTGTGTTCCACCACAGAGCTTCCCTGACAAACACAAGAGCTGCTTTTTGAAGCACAGAGCTTAAAATCTTCAAAGGAGACAAAAGTTAAAGTGGCAACTTTAAATGCGTCTGTGCCAAGTTGTATGTGCTATTTCAAAACTGAAAGATCAGATAAACATACCATTAATCCTCATTTAATAATATTTTAATAGAGTGCACTTTTTCTGTGGCTCCTTTTAAATGTCATTTTATTACATTTGTTAAGTTTTGAAGTAGGGCTGCACAATTAATCTAATTTCTAATCGCAATTACAATTATGGATGCCACAATTACGTAATCGTTCAAAGTGGCAATTAATAGTGTTTTCAGCTTGTTTATTTTCATATAAAAATACGGCATGCAGTTGCATCAAACAATGGTATAAACATCATTCAATATAAATTGTGATAATCGTAATTAATAATCGCAATTACAATTTCAAGGGAATAATCGACAATTATGATTTTTGTCATAGTCGTGCAGCCCTATTTCGAAGTGTACCCATTTATTTAGATTTTATGAGACAGTATTTGCCTCAATGGGTCTAATGGTAATGCCTGCGGCACTGGATGCAGGTCTGCATTTCCCAGCTACTTTAAAACTAGCTTCTCAAGCCATAAGCTGCTCATTTAACTGGGTTAGAGAACAGTCAAGCTACTCTTTTGAAAAGAAGTTAGACACTCTACAAGCTAATTACAAATCTTCTTGCATTGAAGCTGCTTAAAGGGGTCATATGATGTTGCTAAAAAGAACATTATTTTGTGTATTTGGTGTAATGAAATGTGTTTATGCGGTTTAAGGTTCAAAAAACACATTATTTTCCACATACTGTACATTATTGTTTCTCCTCTATGCCCCGCCTTTCTGAAACGCGTC